CTGCCTGGAGTCCTGCATCTCTCATTCAGGCCCTTACTAATGGCGCCCACATTTTAGTTGGCAAAGTCAGATTTATTAGCAGTAAGAGACCTCCTGGTGAACTCAAAAGGAAGCGGCCGCAAGGATCAGGCATCTGGAAGGAAGGTGACCGGGGCCCAGACAGGAATTGCTGCTGGACAATACTCGGATTGGAGCCTCAACGTGCAACACCTGCTGCATAGCTGGACAGCAGGTGAGCACAGGGCATAATGGGGCAGAATAGTTCTGTCACTTGGAGACGTGTATCAGCATTTAAAATCTTTGCGTGAGAATGTATATTTTATGATTGGCTTTTTGCAAATATTAAAATTAATATTATACGTGTTATGTTAGGAAGTTATGCTGTATTAATTTTCTTAGGTAGTGTGTTAAATATAGTCTCAGGTTATAACATAATGTTAAAGTAGAAACTATGCTATGTAGGATACTTTTTTCCCCCAGCCACATCCTGCATTTGCAACCGAAGACAATCCTCATTCAGGAATCAACTATGGAAAAGCATCATCAAGTAAAATCCATTAGCTCTAATCAGTGGAATTGATGTGCTGGCTGCAAACATCTCTTGAGAGAGGATGAGAGTAAAATTTAAAAAAACCAAACTGGTTTTAAATTACAGCCACCATACCAGGAAGGAGGAATTCCTTCTCCAGCCTCCTCTGGGAAAAGGATGTGGCCAAGTGTGATGCCACGTTGTAGGACAGGGGGTGGCCAAAGACATACGTGTCATATAGCATCAGACTGCATCAATCTGGGGCACAATTCTACCAAAAAGGTTATTATCAGGAAGAAATTCCTCCCTCTGAGGGTGGTGAGGCACTGGCACAGATTCCCCACCCTACAGTGGTAGCCATCACAAAGGTAGGCACCTGACTCCTTGTTAATCACTGACAGGAGTCAGAGGAAGGGGATGGCAGCTCATCCCATTGCTCCCAGGAGATCACTGACAAAAGCTGGAATGAAGTGAAAATGAAGCAAAAAATCAGCTAGGAGCCCCACATCTTCTTAGGAGCCTTTTCCCTCCATGACAGGAATGGAGATGCCCTGGGCTAAAGGTAGGTGAGACTCCATCTCCAAAGCCAGAACCAGACCACACTTGCAGCTCCCTCTGTGGAGAGTGTTCAGCTCCACACTACCCCAGTAGTTGCAGGAAAGCTCCATTGACTCTGGCTCCCCCAGGCACTCCCTCTGCTTTGCAGGAGATGTCCTGGCACCAATCGCTCCCATCCCTAACATCTATCACCAGGGGCAAGAGAATATGACAGCACTGCAGGTGACAACCTAAAGGGGAGTTTTAGTGGCCTCTCACATCTTAAATCATTTTGTGATCATGCACAGCTTCTGCCTGGTGGGTTCACAAGGTTCAGCCTGGGGCATTCTCGTTTTCCTTGCCAAATGTGCTTATGATTCATGTATGTTGTGAGAGTGTTTTGAGGCCAAATGGGACAGGAGCCAAAACAAATCCATATCAGAGTGCTGCATAAAGAAAATAATTGAAATGCATGAAAAGAAAGTTTGACCAATAAATCAAGTGCTCTAAAGGACATTCAATTCTTTAATGGAAATCACTGGCATAACACAGCCAGAATAAGAAGAAGTTATTTTGTAACAGGTTGAAGGGGGGAGTAAATTTTGAAAGAATTTGCATTAAAAAAAACCCATACCAAAAAACCCATCAGACAGAAGTGAGCTTCTCTCACACCCATGCCTTCACTCAGAGCTGAAGAGGGACAAAGACCAAGCTTGGTGAAATGGTATCACATAGGTTTGGGGTGGTAGAAAGGAGGGGAATTTCCCAAGGGAGGAACACTTATTACTGAAGAAGTGATGTGTCAGAAAAGAATGGGACTTAGATAATCCAGTGTGCAACTACCACGATGGTACGTTCAGTTTCCTTCTGATAATTCTTGCCACTGGAGTTTTAATTAGCTCTAGGAGTACATATGAATGACTGAGAGGCTTTAGGGTAAATGAAAGGGGATTATCTATGACTGGAAGAGAGGAGCAGTGGTCTGAAGAGTGCTTATAGCTCTTCTGCTGGAGCACTAAGTTCCATAGGGTCTAGATGTGATGGGGCTTCAAAAAGGAACTCCACAGGTCCACTTCATGGCTAGCTCCTCCTGCCAACCATGCAGTATCCTGGCATCCTCTGTGAACCACTGCATTGTTCCTTGCATTTCTTCCTGCAGATCCTCTGTGTTAGGCTTTCCCAACCCTGGCCGGGATCCTGGATCCTGGCCAGTGTCCATGTGCAACCTGTGAAGTCACATGGGCATGTCTTACCAAGTCTCACCAAGACTTGGTGACTTGAAAAACCCACAGTTCCATGACTCTGGGCTTACAGGTTCCTGCTCATACTCTGAGAAGGGCATTGCTCCACTGAGTAACAATCACCACTGGCAGAGGTATTACAGAAGATGAATTGAGAGATTAAAGGAACTTAATTTTCCCAAACTAAATGCAAGCCGTAGGAGATTGAACAAATGACTGTATTTAACTGAAAAGGGAAAAGCCAAGGGGTATGTAGTTGGATCTTCGTCATGGCCCATACGTGTGCAAATGCCTGAGTGGGTTAGGAAGCAAGACTGATTAAGGTATCAGGATATAAGATACAGAGATCAGAGCTCAGTGTTTGGGCACGTCTGAATGGTTAGCGAGTTCAGAGACACAGCTAGTCCTCCCTAAGTATTTCTTTTTCTCTCCTTAATTAAAAAAGTAGAAAGACAAAAAGCAAATGACATAACCACAGCAAAGTAGGACATAAATATTTATTACCTAGCTGAGCATTGTTTAACTCCTTGGTCAGGTCTTCCAAGGACCTGACTTGCTCATAAATCCAGAGGATGAGGCTTCCTGGTCATAATAAGCCACAAGCAAAGACCTATGACTCTCTGCAATAGTACTGCTTTAGAATTAAGCAATACAACTGCTCTAGGGCTTAGCCTGAAATTTCTGGGGGCAGAAAATGCTTCCCACATGTCTGGGTGTCCCCAGGGCACAGGTGTGTCTTTTTTAACTAGTGAAAATCAAGAGTTCCTTGGCATGGCTAGTCTCCAGCAAGAACAAGAGTGCTGGACAGAAAACACATTGAAACATCATCATCAGAGATGTCCCTGCAGCGACTTTTCACAGAGGCATAGAATTGTTACAGTTGGAAAAGTCCTCTGAGACCATTAATACTGACCATTCCCTCAGCATGCCAAGCCTACCAAATGCCACATATGCGTTAAATTCCGCCAGGGGACTCCACCACTGCCCTAGGCAGCGTGTTCCCTCAGCATGCCAAGCCTACCAAATGCCACATATGCGTTAAATTCCGCCAGGGGACTCCACCACTGCCCTGGGCAGCGTGGTCCAGGGCTTGAAAACTGTTTTAGCGAAGGAATTTTCCCTAATAACCAATGTAACCCCTTCTTGGTCCCACCACCCACCACCCACCTCTCTGACAATGCTGGTGTTACACAGTCCAGGAAGACCAGGAGGGCCCACAGATCTCCTCACAGAATTTTGGAAATCACTGATGGTTTCTCAACAGGAAACATCCTGTCTCCAGGTAACAGTGCTGAAAGAATTAAAAACCTCTTTTGCTTTCTTGAAGCAGTCAGGCTGCTGACATTTGCAGTAGAAAAGCATGGGGAGAGATTTGAGTGAAATCTAAACCAGTTTTAGCTCAATTAAAGCAACCAATGCCTTTAGGAAGAGATCTCTTGGGGTTTCACCAGGGCCCTGTTATCCTAGTGATTTGGGGAAACTGAGTCTAACAGGTCCCTCGTAGTCCAGCATCTTCCTAGGCCTGACAAAGGGGAGGGATTATTTTCCAGCTAACATCTCTGATTTGCTTCTGCCAAAGGTTGTTTTTAGTTTTATTCTGTAATTCTTGGCTGCAGTGACCTTGGGATTTGAAATGCCCCTTAGACATGTGAGTGAAGCCTTTGTACATGGCCAGTTCTTTCACAGCGCTCATTGTTCAGTGCAATCTGTTCACAGTGTTATTCTGTATCCTGGTTACAATGAGACCTTTGGTTTTCCCAGCTCTCCGATGAGATGATTTTGTTACTTACCTGAGGGGCTTGTCAGTTCCTTGAGGATTTTTTCCCCCCAAATTTCTAATTTTTTTCCCCACATAGTCAATTGCATCTCTTTGCACGTGACAAGGCAGAGACTCAGACTGCACACATGCTTGGAGATACAAATGCAAATCAGGAGTAGTATTTCCTTTCTTTATACCTGTATAAATGTGTGCAACGATGCACATATGCCCCATCTATCCACCATCCATCCATGTCTTGGCTCATGCACCCTGTGCTCGGCAGTGAAACACCCTTGTTTGTCTCCCCACCTCCTTGGCTGAGACTGAAACCCATCCACATCACATCACTTGTGAACAAAAGTGACCTGCCTGTGCTCATCCCTTTTGCTTGTCCCTTCCTGCTGTGCACAGAGTGATTTGTAGGGGAAGAGGAAAAATAAAACTGCTTTACAGGTATGAATGCTTCATTGTCTCTGCCAATATCCAAATATTGTGAAAATTTTAAAGAGACAGGATCTTTTGAAAGCAGGATTGGGTCCTGAATGGAGTTTACTTTCCAGATTTGGGTGGAAGAAGCATGAAATTATCACCAACTAACAACGTTGTGAGTCATGATGGTATAAAGTCCATGACACCTCCCTCTCCTCCCTGTATGGAATGGTGCTGTGTGCAGCCACCACTGTGACTGCAAGTTGCATAATCCCTTCTACTGTAACACTGGGTAGATATTGACGGGCGACTTTGCACTTTGCATTCACCACTTGCTTCCTTCTCCTTGTGAGACGTGCATGCAGAGCCCAAGATGAAAGTTGAGTTTGCTCCGCTGTCTGTGCCACTTCAGAGAAGGCTTCAGACAGCATCAGTGGTTCAATGGGTCTTCAGCTTCCTAGGTCTAGGTAAGAGACATCTCTTTTTCCTTTTTCTGAGAGGTGGGAGAAGCTTTCCATAGAATTGCAGTATGGTTTGGTTTGGAAGGGACCTTAACGATCATCCAGTTACAATCCCCTACATTTTTATGAGAAACTATCAAAAATGTCCCTGGATAGTCTTCAATAGCTTAAGTTTGACTGAAAGGTGTTGTGGCTTCAGGTGAGGATGCCAGGAGAAGGAGGCTTATCAGGTACCTTATTAATCAGCTTCCAAGACATGCTTATCATGGCATGGTTATCATTGCACAGGGGGTGCTTGACAAGGAACCACTGCTTGGGGCTCTGCTCAAAGTCGGTGGTGATTTTGGGGGCTGCAGAATGCTGGTCTTGCTCTGGTTTGTACCACACCATGGTGCCTTTAGCATAATCATACAATCACAGACTGGTTTGGGTTGACAGAGACCTTGAAGATCATCGTGTTCCACCTCCTGCCATGGGCAAATACCCCTTCCACTAGACTGGTTTGCTCCAAGCCCTGTCCACCATGGCCTGGAACAGGGCCCCAGGGATGGGGCAGCCACAGCTTCTTTGAGAAATCTGTGCCAGCGGTTTTGGCTTCTTCTCACCACCTGATCAGAGCAGGATGGCACTAAGGAAGTGTATGGCTGATTGGCTGTGCATGGGAATATTTACAGGTCTTATGCAGCATCTAAAGTGGAGTGGGGTTTTCTGCTTCTATTGCTCTGTAGGTTTAGAGTTTTCATGTTTTAAGCTGTTGCTCTGCTTGGTGTTAGGAATGAGAAGTAGAATTACCATGCTTGAGGAATGGTACCTTAGTAGGAGTATTGGTGACTCTGCTTTTGTAGCCCTGGGAACAGACACTTCACTTTTTACAAATGCCCCTGCACATTCCAGAAGGTCATTTTTCCAAGAAAACCCAAACAGTTTGAGGAAAAGACACATTAGCAAACTGAGATGCAGACAAAGTCACTGCTTGGTGCAGGGCATCAGGTGCTGATGGAAATGACACACATGCTGTTTTGGATAGATTGCATAGGGAAATGATGATGGGAGACACAGAGGCACCTTATCAGGGAGTGCAAACTGCCTGGGGACATTTACAGCCCATCACGCTGGAAGGTGACATCGCAGGGTTTCCTAGTTTTATGGAAATAAAATATCAGAGGTAGGTTATCAGTGTAAAATGTCTGGGGCCATTTACAGCCCATCAGGAGCCAAGCTGAAAGGTAACATCACAGAGCTCCCCATTGTTAGGCCAGTTGTGAATCTCAGATGGGATGTGTGTAAAGCTCCTCCTTTGCTGTGGCAAGACAGTTGCTGGCTAGCCCAAAACACAGCAGATCTTTGTGTGTATCTGTGTTCTGGTACACAAACATCTCCAGAACTATACCTGCACAGAAAGCACAGGCTGTGCTTCAGACTCCCACTCAGTTTCTGGGATGGGCCCTTCCAAAATCTGCTACAGACCTGAGCCTGGATGGCCGCCTTTGCACCAGTATCTGATGGACTGGAGGACTGTGCAATACTGGTCCAGACAGGGTAGTGCTTTACATGTTTTTTGGTGTAGAATTGGCTCATGCTAAGTATCAGGAAAATTACTACATAAACACCAGAGGTTTATGTCCAAAAAGGACACAGAGGAGTCCTGTAACTTTATTCAAATAAAGGGAGAAGCCATGGGGCATTTCCCGGTGTCTCTCAAAATTTTAGAGGACACAGCCTCCTTTTTATTCTGATTTCCTGGGCACATTTCCCTCTCTCTTTCCTCATTGGTTGAGGTACTTGAGAGGTACAGACTTCCTGAAAAGCCTAATACCTAAGACACCCTTCTAATGTATTCTCCCCCAGCCCTTTTTTTTCTGTGTATCAATCAGTGGAATTCCTATGGAATTTACGGTTGTTCCCATTGTTTCTTTCATCTCTCAGTATCCAGTTTTCTTTATCAGCAGACCAACAGTGTATTTGTGAAGACAAATCTCATTCCACTTATCAATCAGTGGAATCTTTCCCATTGTTTCTTTTAGCTCTCTCAGTGCTAGTTTGATCTACTAGCAGACTCACCATTTCTTTGTGAAGACAAATCCCTCATTCCTTTCATAAGGATCACTCTTCTGAACTACAGCTTATCCCACTTTGTGCAATACAAGAGGTCAGGGGCCATTGCTGGTCACCAGGATGGATTAAGCTACCTTTTTTTTGGAAGAGAAGCACCAAACAGCCATTCTTGGTGCTATTGTGTACTTGTGTTATAAACCCTGAGGAGTCTCCCTGGGCAGAAGAGGTTCCACCTGTGATCAATATTCTAGTGAAGAAGAGATCCCACATGTGAACGACCTTCTGACACCAGAGAACAACTGGCAGGAGGAGACACCAACGTATTCTGGCAAGAGAGATGAAAATCTGGCAAGAGCCATGCAGTCTTGGACACAGCTGGCCAAAATGGGACATTCTGGAGTGCTCCATGATTCCCTCTCTGTCCCTGCCTCTGCATTTCCTTCCATAGTCCATGATTCAGTTGGGATGTGGTAGAGATGTGGTCACAGTGTTAACAGGCGATCCAACAGCACATCCCCATTTTCAGCATGGATGCAGTTGGGGCTTATGGAGCTTCAACAATGTTTTCCAATAAAACAATTTGTACTGGAGATTTTTCCCTTCTTGGTATTGGGAGCAAGCTGGCACTTGACTTAGGGATGGAAATAATTTCTAGAGCCAGCAGAATGACAGCAATGGCCAGGAGGGAGGAATCCTCTGCACTTGTAGGAGTTACTTGCAAACACAGGCTCTATCTCCTGCAGGGAAATGCAGCTTGCTCTGAATGAGGATGAGACCCAACCCACTCCTCCTCCTATGGCTGACCTTCAAGAGCTTATCATCTTTCCCGGGAAGAACTTGATTTGTTGTTTGGGGTTTTTTGTGTGGTTTTTCGGGTTTTTTGTTTGTTGGCTGGTTTGGGTTTTTGCATGTTTTGTTTGGTTTATTTTGGGGTTTGGTTTGTTTGGTTTCTTTTGGTGATACAATCTGAAACCAAAAGCAGCTAAGAAATGCTCTTAAGAGGGTCATTAGAAAGGTGATAACAAAACCTTATGAAGCAATTCCAGCAGGTTTGGTTCATTTTACAAAGCTTCTTTAAGCCTGGAGCTTTCCACCCAAAATATCCCAGTTTAACAACAGCATAAGCTAGATGCTAAGAGATACCCTTATTTTCATCCCATCACCTGCCAAACACCCTTTGTTGCACTGTTATAATCCTCAGGCACCGAGCTCAGACTTTCTGTGGGCAGGATTTAGCTGTCGGCTGCTCCTTTGTTTGGGAGACAAGCTTGTGCTTCTGCTGCCAGAAGAGGGCTTCTGAAACACCCATCTGGCCGCTGCACAGCCCTTGGCCAGAGATCACAGCAGCACTGACAGCAGGCAGCTGTTGCTATGGTTGTGCAAATGCATCCCCTAAGAAGCCAAGCACTGTGGGAGGGACTAATTTATTCCTGCAGGATGCTGGGTGAGGGCAGCAGCTTGGTCCCAGTGCTGGCAAGGAGCTCTGCTCCAGCATCCCTTGCAACAGGCAGGCATTGTCCATACTGCCAGTTTTCTTGAGGATGCTCCTGACAAGAGCATGGAGACAAAAGGTTCTATTTATTTCAGAGGCTAATGGGCTGCAGGGCATGGAGTGGGGACCCTAATTGCCTTCCCAGTACATGATCTGAGTACTGACCAGTGCCTCCTTGTAATGGAGTGGAACCAGGCTACTGCAGAAAACAAACCAGCAGGCTGATGCCCAAGCCTGCTGCACTGCTTCCTTCTGCCTCTCTCATTCCCACTCTCCACTGGGCATGGACACCCATCCAGACACACCATGCAGAACTATGAGTGCAGAGCTGAACCACGGCAATCAAACCCAGTGCAGGGCCAGTAGATCTGGGCATGCTGCCTCTGCAGACCCAGCATACCATACCCAGACTCTGAACCTTCGAGTCATCAGGGGTGGCTCAAAGGGCATGTATGTGGTACCAGCATGATCAGGCTTCCTTGGCAGCTGAGTGTAGTCCACAGCCTGCCCACATCAGCTGTGCCCAAGGGTGCACTATCTGTGTAGGTGGCCACAATCATGGACTCCAGGCTGGCACTGAGGACCTCAGCAACCTGTGTCTTGGAGGCAATCAAAGCCAGTTTGGATGGGACTTTGAACAACCTGGTTTAGTGGGAGGTATCCCTGCCCATGGCAGGGCAGTTGGAACTGGATGGTCTTTAAGACCCCTCTAACCCAATGCATTCTGTGATTCTGCAGTGATCTTGCAAACCCTCCTGGCAAGTGCAGTATGAATCTGACTCATTTTGGGGCTGATGTGGTAAAAAAAATCTCTTTCTGTGGGCTGCAGTTTTCCCTATTTCAGGCTGATCTAGCAAATTTTGGGTTAAGAGCACTTTGATGGGACGGGGTCCCTGCTTAGACCTGGCCAGAGAAGTTCTCCATGTGCTTTGAAACCTGCAGCTCCTTTGGAACCCATGGCTTACTTGGAGCCCATGGCATATTTGTGCTCCCTGTGATATGGCCATTTTCTTGTCCAGAGACGATTTTACAGCTCACAGCAAAACTCAGCATAAGAAATCCACCACTTAGTTTTTGCTTCTTTGAAGCAAAGAAGCTCTGAACTTCTTTGAAGGAATCGAGCCCAGGAAACCAATTGACCTGTGGGAAAGAAAACCAAAACCAAACAAACCATCAAATACACACTGATGTGTCTTTTCTTTGCTGAGTCTCATACAGCCATGGAGATGTGAGATGCTGGGTCCTTGACCATGAAAAGTTGCTGAACCCCTGCTCAACAGGTGCACTGCAGAGTCCAGAACCATCCTATGAATGCTTCATCCAGAGCCCAACCTCACCATGGACAACTATAGAGAAACCTTCCTGAATCTAGACTCATGAGAAAGTGCAAGATTTAGGGCCTGCATATTGCATTTCTTCTTGCCAGGGACCCTTTGGTTTTAGTTTTGGTTTGAAGCAGTCTCCACTTTCCATGACAGTGTAGACAGTGCAGCAACTAATCTCAGCCCAGCCTAGAATTATCTGTTTTCAGATAAGATGCATCTTCAATGACCTCCATGATGCCCTTAACCCTGCTCTTACAGCTCTTGTCTGCCTTGAAAGAGCTCTGTGTAAGGGCTTAAGCCATTTTATAGCAATTTAGCATATACCATTGGGCTATAGCACAGGAGTCCAGAAGTCAGCAATGGAGAGAGATGGGGAAGAGTGAATCAGTGATCAGAATCCAAATTTACTGTGGGATACAAATGCTTGTGTACTATTTTAGGGAGCCTAGTAATGTGTACTACAATGATGAGGTTAAAATCACATACACAAACTTATGCATATCACAACATCTCTTGCTTGCAGAGTTTAATGAAATTTTCTTTTTCCAGTAAACCTTTCTGATTGAATCTTCTTGCAATCTAGGTCAAATTTTCAAAGTTCCATTTGCTTTTGACAAGGCATCCTGTTATCAAATCTCTTGTGCTAACCAGGTCCAAAGTCCATCATCTGTTTTTTGTCTCCCAACATCCCAACATCTCCCCCTTTCCTTTCAACCAAAACCACTCCTTTAATGGCCATAATAATTAATCTATGCACAAATTGAAAGGTATCATGATTAATAGAATTACTATCAAAATTATAATATACATACCTGTCTTAAAAAGAATCTTTTAGTTAAAAAACTCCAACCCTAAAAGGCTCAGGCTTGATCTTTATAAATTAAAACATTCCTGATGGCAGCTGCAGGGGCGGAGGCAATACTGGATTTAGAAAGGCTGCCAGAAGTATAATTGCAGCAAAAGGTTTGGTTCTTTTACACACAGGGTGATAAGGAGAAACATTTTTAGCCTGATTCCTATCTGTGCATTTAAAATCAACACAAAAATCTAATTTCACAGAACCCAGGAACTCTAATTCTTGGGGTTCCAAGGGTGTTTCAGGAGGGTAAGGGATCAAATTTGATGTGATTTGATTTGCTTTCAAAATTTTTAGTGTCAATATTAGTGTAAAGTTCTGGTGGAGCTATATCCAGACCTGCAGAAGGAAGAGATGAGGATCTTGTCTGTTTGCAACCTCAGACCTGTTTGCAACTCAAACCTGCCCATTTCTTCTGAGCAGTGGGACCAGTGGTGATGGACTTAGTCTGGGGACCTGACTTGACTTTTGGAACACACTAATAGAGCTCTGTGGAAAATGTATGGCCACTGGTAGTGCACAAAGTGTTAATGTCCAGACAGTGGTATGGAGTTGTTCCTCCCCATCAAATTACAGATCATAAATAACCAGGTGCCTGCCTAAGGCCGGAATTCGTTTGGATGCAGATTTAATTGTACATTTTCTGGAACCTTCAGGTCTCTTTGGTCCCATCCACAGTAACTTTCAGACTGACAGTCCATTCTCAGACAGGAATGGGTCCCTTTCCCACAGAGCACCAAAAGGTTTCAAAAGGACAAACCCCTCCCCCCCCAAACCTTGAAATTGAGTGAAGGTCACTGAATGCAAATTTTGCTCTGGGGAAAGAAAAAATTTGAATTGCAAATGAATTGAGGAAGAAATTAATAATTATATAATTGTGAGATAAAGCATGGATTTGGTCCAGAACTACTCCTTCACTTTGTAGAATGTACTTTGAGCTTTGCACAGTATGATAAAAAAGAGAATTAGGCACTGCACTTTTGCAGCAGATCTTATGACTGGGTTCCTAGGTGAAGTAAAATTGTGTTTATCATGTGGACCCTGGAGCTGCAGCTCATGTTCTATGTAGTTCTTGAGAGTTACAAAGTCTGTGTCTGTGGCATCTGAAAACGAAGTGTGAGCAGCAGGTTGAGGGAGGGGATTATCTTGCTCTGTTCCACTTTTCTGGGACTCCAGTTGGAGTGGGTCCAGAGGAGGCCTCAGAGATGCTTCAAGGGCTGGAGCCCCTCTCTTCTGGAGACAGGCTGGGAGAGCTGGGAGTGTTCAGCCTGGAGAAGGGAAGGCACCAGGCCGACCTTAGAGTCTCCTCCAGTGCTATAGGGGCTCCAAGGGAGCTGGAGAGGGATTTTGGACAAGGGCCTGGAGGGACAGGACAAGGGGGAATGGCTTCCCGCTGCCAGAGGGCAGGGTTAGGTGGCATATTGGGGAGAAATTCTTGGCTGTGAGGGTGGTGAGGCCCTGGCACAGGTTGCTCAGAGAAACTGTGACTGCCACATCCTTGGAAGTGTCCAAACCAGATTTGAGAGGACTTTTATGATTCCATTAAAAGTGCAGCACCAGGTGTGAGCAGTGGTTCTTTCTGACCTGCATGATGCATTACAGGTTAGACCTGTTGCTTTGCCGAGAGCTACAGGTTTTTTCGCACTGCAAAATTCTTAATGCCTACCCTGGTGCTTGCTGCAGTGTCTCTACTTATAGGAAGACATGCAGTCCCATTTCAGCTTTAAGGGGATTTAGGGTCTTGTTAGATTATTGCACTTTTTTTCCCCATAGGAATTATTGGTACCATCATGAGGGTGTTCTAAAAAAGGGCAAGGATTTGCTTTTTCATGCAAAGCTTCGTAATCAGGGTGACTTATCACAAAAAAAAAAAAAAAGCTACAAACATGATCTACTTATTTATCCTTAAGTGAAAGCAAACAGGAGCTACATGAAGGTCTTAGATGAGAGCATTCTATTCCATGTCTCTGACTGGCCTTAGCTGAGAGAAGGTGGAGAGAGCAGGTATCAGGTGACTCCCAAAGGTGGAAAAGACGTCTCAGAGCATGAGGATGTGGATGCATCTATATCACAGCTGAAGCTGAGCAGGGCATTGCCATCCTCATATCTTCCAGCCTTGGGAAGATCTGAAATGAAGACCCAAAGTAGAACAAAATATACAAAAAGTTATGTAATCCATCAGCTGGGGAAGGCAAAGGACTTGGATGAATCTTTGGGTTTTCTTCAGCTCAGTCTTTCCCTTCAAACGCAATACCAAGGGTTCCAGAGGGACAGATGGAGAGGACACAGCACTTCCCAGGCACACATCTGCTCTGCCAGGTGGCAGCTTGGTGGCCATCATCACTTTCCAGCATCTGCAGACACACAGTTTTGGGCTTGGGTAGGATTTTATGTATCAAGTGATGTTTGTTTGCACAGATACTTTTGTTCTCTTGTTTCTATGCCAAAACACAGGGTATAAGGGAGATGGGAGGTAGAGGTCAAAGCTGGCACTAACTGGATAAAGTCCCAAGTCATGGAAGTCATAGAGAATAAAATAGAGCATTCTTATAAAATCCATTATGACACCAAGTTGAGAGAACTGAAAATCCTCTGGAGTCCAAGATTAGAAGTGGAGGAAAGGGTCCAAAATCAATAATAAAAAACTCACTAAAGAGTTAAATCTTATCAATGGGTATATATCATGGACACAATTAAAATGGAGAATCATTAGCTCAAGATAAAGCTACTGGGGACTGTACAGACTGGACATAGCACCCTTTCTGCTGCCATTGCAAAATATCAGGTGTCACCAGGGGGTATTAACAGGAGTTTTGGGGTAAAACAAGGCCATTATCGTTGCAGAGATCAGTCTGACTCCAGAGAAAAGCAAGACAGCAAAGGGATAGAGAGCTGATCCATGAGAACACTGAGACTGGAGTGAGATTCATCAGTCTTTTGGGAAGAGGGGGACATGGTGGCCTTTGGAGAAATTGGTGGTTGCTACAAGGGAGGTGCTTGGTGCTTTTTCAGGCTCCTGGGGCAGATAGAAAAGAAACTACCTCTGCATCAGAGGTGCCTTTACACTGATAAAATCAGCAGCAAGCCCAGTGGAGGCTCCATCCCAGGACCAAAATTCCTCCCAAATGAACCACTCCTCCCAAAGTCCACCTAATCCAACTGTCAAGTCACTGCTGGCTTTTCTTTCAGCACAGTGCTGTACTGCTGCCTTCATCGCCCTCTTCTTCACTCGTTTTTGGCTGGTCAGTGCCCTCTATGCTGCATGGTGGTTAATAGACAGGGAGAAACCCAGAAAGGGTGGGCGACGGATCCCCGTCTTCCGGAACTGCATCGTTTGGAGGTACATGAGGGACTATTTCCCTGTCACGGTAAGTGCCACCAGTCCATTGGCTCTTCAGTGTTTCAGGGACCAGCTTTTTCTTTGGAGTCTGGATACAGTCTGCAGCCAGCAGTCATAGCATGGGGTGCTGGGAGCCTGGTGTTGAAGGACAATCTTCCCAGCTCCCAGATTACTCAAAGGCACAGTAACAAATGGGGATTACCATTTTTACAAACCGCATGCTTCAATCACCTGGCTTTTCCATGCCTATTTAATATTGCTGCATTCCAGCTGTTAGGGAAATCTCACCTTTGTTTTCCATGTCTATATTGCAACATTGCTGCCCTTCAGGTTGCTCAGAATTTACCCAGTGGGCATAGGGCCAAGTTTTAACCAAAATCCAAGAGATCCTGGGTGGTCTGCAGTGTCAATATCCCGTTCTGCTGAGGAGGAGGATGGATGGGTAAAGCTGGGGGTGCACTGGGCAGTCTCAGAGAGCTGCTGTTCTCTTGAGAGGGACTTCTGTGACATTCCCTGATTTACTTAGTGTGTGTGGCTGGCTTTGCCCTTACTCTTTTATCTGGTGTCCCCTTGGCATGGTATGGATTCATGGAGCAGCAGCAAGTCCTGCCTCAGAGCCATTATAAGTTGGTACAAATCAGCAATGCAGGAGAAGAGCTCATGGGTTGTGCAAGGAAGAGAGCTTCAAGGATAGACCAGGCAATGGGAATGTCTAAAATAATTCCTTTAGGAATACATTGCGTATTGAGAGAACTCAGATGGGATGCACCCTGCTGGTCAGAGATCACCTGGAATCAGAAGCTGAGTGCTGCAGTCCAGGATAAAGAAGTTGGGAGCCCAAAACACCAAAGAACCCACCAGCCTAAAGGAAAAAAATAGGAATCCAGCCTGAGAGTCCATCCTGCATGGAGTAGGGCCTGGGATAAAGATTAGGGGGAGCCAGACCAAAATGAGGACCAGAGATGACATGCCCATCAGCTTTGCTGCTCAAACAGAAATAACCCTCTTTTCTGTCCTCATAAGATCACACCTGGAATACTGTGCACAGTTCTGGAGCCCCCATCAGAAGAAGGTTAAATGGCACTTCTGGGCCAAGTCCAGAGGAGAACACAAAGTCAGCAAGGGGACTGGAGCACCTGCCATATGGAAACAGCTGAGGAAGTTGGGGCTGTTTACCCTGGAGAATGTTGTGTGGATACCACACAGCACCTTCCAGTATCTGAAGGACCCTACAGGGAAGATGGAGGGATGCTGTTCATCAGGAACTATAGTGATGGAACAAGGGGGAATGGGTTCAAACTGTAAGAAAGCAGATTTAGATGGGATGTTGGGAAAAAATTCTTGGCTGTGAGAGTGGTGAGGCCCAGAGAAGCTTTGGCTGCCCCATCCCTGAAAGTGTCAAGGGCCAGGCTGGACAGGGCTTGGAGCAACCCAGTCTAGTGGAAGGTGTCCATTCCCATGGCAGGGAATGGAATTTTAAGGTACCTTTGATACTGAAATCAGCAAGAAAATAAACTTTCTAACACAATTTGAAGTGTTAGAAAGCAGGCATTCTTTATCTATGCAGGACATATTGCAAGGATGACTTATTTAATGTCTGTGATGAGGCAACATTATAATAATATATATTCATTAAAGTGTGTCTCCCAGCTAATACATAAACATCACTTTTTCTATAACTAATTTGCATGCAACTGCCTCCTACTGGAAAACATTTTATGATCCTGGAGGGTCCTCTAAAAGGATCTCTGGTGGTCCTATTCAGTGAATATTTCAATTTTAAACGTGACCTTTCCATGAACTTTTTATTTGGGCATGTGCTGTTGCTTCTTGTTACCTAACTTGCAAAAAAACCCCACTGTAGCCCTCTTTATCTGTTCTTGCACTGGTAAGCGACACTTATCATCCAGTGCGCATACCTTTACATCCTTTTATCTTTGTTTGCTAGTTAGTCTTTAAGCTCTATTCAGCAACTTCAGAGGAACTGAAAATTTCTATTCTCTATGTTATTTATCACATTGCAACCCAAACCATAAAATAACTCAACGATATATGTGACTGCAGTAATTATATGCAGTATATATTCTGTAATTATTTGTGGCTGTAAGCCACCACTTGTGAAGTGTTGGACCGACCTTTCTGCTGAAATTCAGCTGCCAGCTCAGCCCGGCAATGACCCTTTCTCCTGTTCCTTTCCAAAGAACATGGATCCCCACTCCTGAATGCCCCACTGTGTTCAGTGTCTGTCCTTTCTTGCAGGAGGACCACTAACACCAGTAGAGGGAGCATGGTATGGGGTTTGGCTGTAGCTCCCTGGGTGAGGGCCCAGAGGGCTCCACGGAGCCTTTCTCCCCACTTCTCTGGGAGAAAACAGAGGAAGTAACACAAAAGGACAGCAGAAAAATTTAGAAGAGATATAATATAGAGAGCATTATAACCAAGCAATCACATAATACTATTTCCCAAAAATATTTTCTCAGTCATAGAATTATGGAATCATTAAATGTTTTGGGTTGGAAGAGACCTCAATGATCATGCAATTCTAACCCCCCTACCATGAGCAGGGACACCTTCCACTAGACCAGGTTGCTCCAGCCCTGATCAACTTGGTTTTGAAAACATCCAGGCATGGGACAGCCACAGCTTCTCTGGACAACCTGTGCCAGGGCTTCAGCATCCACACAGCCAAGAATTTCTGCCCAATATCCCATCTAACCCTGTTTTCTGTCAGTGGGAAGCCATTCCCATTGTTCTGTTCCTCCAGGCCCTTGTCCAAAATCGCTCTCCAGCTCTCTTTAAGCCCCTTTAGCATGGGGCTAGAGCCACTGGCAGGGGCTCTAAGGTCTCACCTTCCTCAGGCTGAACACTTGCCCAAAGTCCCAGTACAAGAGACACGAGGAAGTGACATCTGGGGACACAGACTGGGTTGGTATTCAGGACTCTGGACTGTATTTGTGTGTAGCTGGAGTTTGTTAAGCCCTGGAGAATTAGGCATTCTGGGAAGATTAAGTATGACTCCTAATCCTACCAGATCCCAGCAGCAAACTTAGCATGGTCAAGTGTTTGGAGGCAGCAAGTGCTGCCTGCTGTCTTATTTTAGGAAACAGCTTTAAACATTGCTTTTAAGGGATCCCTGTGCATGTTTGCTGTCTAGGAAGCAAAGAGAGTTTTGGATGAGCATCTGGGCTTGTGAAGTGTGAATTTGCAGTGTGCTGCAGTACATGGAACATGCCAGTGCTGAGCTGAGCCAGGCCACTGCAGTGTGTACAAGGCACACCTTCTGCTGATACCAACTTTGCACAAGTACTATTTTGCTGTTGGATTTATCTCCCTTGGAACTGACTGCATTTTAATTAATGATTTGAGAATCAGAGTTAGGCAGGACCCAAATGAGCTTGAGTGTTTTGAAAAGTGGGATGAGTAAGAAATCAAGTCAGGGTCCAATGCATTGCCCAGGGAAGTTATTTCTGCTTAATTTCCCTGCATTTTAAACATATTCCAATCTGTTTATTTATTTATTAATTTATTTATTTTTAAATATACCCTCAGTATAGTCATCCAATTGGCCTGGAATTGTTTCAAAATAGTGTAGATGTGGCACTTGGGAACATGGTTTAGTGCTGGCCTTGGCAGTGCCGGGCTAATGGTTGGACTTGATGGTCTCAGAGGGCCTTTATGACCTAAATGAATCCATGATTCTTCAATTCCAATATATGACCGAGCTCAGCTGCATTATAATGTTGTGGAAGATATACCAAAGGGTTTAAAAGTAATCTGTTTGTGCTAGAGTATGTCTGAACAGATAACCTGCGATGCCTGCTGTGTTGATGTTGCCTAGAGAATAATTTTGGATGCTGTGGATTGCTTTATCTATGCTATGTTCAAAAAGCAGTCAGTAATCTGTCTGCTGCTGCCCAAACCCTATCTCCATTTTCATAATCCCTTCCTCATCATTTATCAGTGCATCTTTACAATGAAGGATACACCCAGCTTCACAGAAAAAACAAATTCTGTCCCCACGCCAAGTGAGTGGACATCACTGCTTTTCCTCCCCAGCCCCATCCCATCCTCCCTCTTACAGCCATGGTGCTTTGGTAACCTCAGATGTGGAAGGTGAAATGGGGAAAGTGTGAGCACAGGCTTGACAATATCTATTTTTACCACAGTCCTCAAACAGCAGTCACCATCTTGCTGACTGAAAATTGGTGCTGGATGCTTGGCTTAGGCAAGCCATCTCCGCTTTGGATCACACAATGTGGGTTATGAGTCCCTTCTACCAAATTAAGGTCTCAGATAATTTTGAGGACTGTTGTGGTTTTTTAGGTTTCTCAGTGATTTTTTTCCCCCCTTTGTTATCAGGGAGACGCTGGAAGGGGTAGAGGGTGGCTTTTTGGGTGAATAGTTAGGGATCAAGACACAAAAGGAAGTCTCCTGGCATTCCAGTGGAATTTTTGTGGGGATGGGGAGTTTCTGGCTGGGGGCGTGGGCTTTTCCGTTCAACATTTTCCGGGAGTTGTGGCGTGATGCCACCCACCACAAGCTGTGATCTCGGACCCGAGACTTGGTGGCGGTGGGTCTGACCTTCCTGCCCTCCTTCTTCCATGAGGGGACCGAGGACAGCGGCCGCGGGGTGCCGAGAGTTTGCGTACTCGGCTCCAGGACTTTGCTGCGCTGCAGTTCGCCACTACGGTCGAATCTGCCGGCTTCCCCTGCTTCTGCCAGATGCTCCGATCGAACGCTGCCCATGAGTTTGCAAAAGGAGCGATTTCCTCCCTTCTCTCCCGGCGCCTGAGGGGATCGTGGCGGAGGCGCTCCCCGCCTCTCCAGGGCGGCCCGGGCCTCCTGCCGGCCGTGGTCATTACTACACCGCTTTTTTTTTTTTTTTTTTTTCTCTGAAAGCCGTGTAATTTTGAAATTACATTAATTTGGAGAGAGGGGTGTTTTCTTCCCGTTCCAGTAAGGTTCCCACCTTCCTTGGCAGACGTTTGTCTTTTAAATCACGACAGGGACGTATTTTGTTTTCAATTA